ATTCGCATCCGCATTCGCATTCGCGAATGTTCTAAAAATGACATTCGTTACATCACTAATTAACAGTTATTCGCTGACCGTTTACGTCGGTGAGAATTCTCTCCACTAGTTTGTAGTTGAACAATATTAACTGTATATAAGTCGCGGCACGAAATTCTAGCGTTGACCGTTATTGCGCAGAAGTAAAAATTATGATGTGTGGGGGAACGCTTTGATTAAAACAAAAAGGGTAGATACGGCACTAGCCTCACAAAAGTGATCCGCACAAATTGTGGTCCACGACCCTAATCGCTTTAGTCACAACTTGACATGCAAACGACGTACATGTGAACGCCACAAAGAAATATTGATAATATTTTGTGTTTATATGATAAAACAATGCCTAAGTATGTTATGTTTTTATTTATTTTTAAGCATTTAACTGCTAGATGTTTAAATCTAAAGAAAAGTTTACTAGAAAAAATGGCGGCCTATTGTAATAAGGTATTAGAAGAATGTCATTGTGTATAATACAAGCCTGAGAACAAAAACTATAGTCTACACTTCAGGTCTACACCGAAGCGAAGCGAGGGCGGGCCGCTAGTAATATAATAAAAATCGTTTATTTGGTACAAATTACAAAAAATAACTTATTGAATCATAAAGAGATTTTGTACCAAACAATATGTTATCTTACTCCTATTCTCCCATAGAAGAAAATTGACTGTAATGTTTTTAATGTAAAAAGAAAGCGTCTGCCACCAGCTATAGCCGCTAATGTAGTTATCGAACTTATAAGTAGATCACTTTTGGGATTGTCTACCCTGACTCCATCTCCTGATCCACGGAGTTCAGTCACCTTATTCTTATATTGAACCACAATACCACTGTAGGCGCGAAGAGTAAGTACCCATTCCGTTTCATGTAGACGACTAAAAGAACTTTTTCGAACAGTTTTGTAGTTTTTATAAAAGGATTTCTTTTTGAATTTGGAATTTGAGTAGAAGCGACGTCTCCGTTTCCCGCTCATTTTTTGCAAACGCTCCGTTTCCCGCTGTTGTGGTTTTTGCATATTTATTTAGTACTAGTGGCCCGCCCTCGCTTCGCTTCGGTGTAAAGCTGTAGTGTCGACTATAGTTTTTGTTCTCAGGCTTGTATTATACACAATGACATTCTTCTAATACCCAATTACAATAGGCACGCGCCGCCAAGCCTGGTAGCGTCGGAACCGCTATGTCCCTGAATTTTAAATTTGTAATATCTTCGAAAATATTCATTTAAATTATATGCGTTAAAGGGTTAAATTGTTCTATATTAGATGCACAATGTATTTAAGGTACTTAATTGTATAAGGATGAATGTTATATTGCTTAAAATCGCTTCGTAAATAATCTATTATTTCTCGTAAAAAGTATAGGATAAAAATTGGTTATTGTGGGTTATCCTTAAGAGATAGACATATACCATTGCGGACTTTTTTGTAGACCTTTTTAAGGTGTACAATACTGTAGTACATTATTTTGATCTATCTCGTGGGGTTCAGCCAGCGTTTGCAATGTAAGCGCAAAAATGTGTTTATTTACGACCTTACATTAAAATCCTCTAAAATTATCAGTGTTTCTCTACTATATTATGCATGTATTATACATATAAACCTTCCTCTTGAATCACTCTATCTATTAAAAAAAAACGCATCAAAATCCGTTGCGTAGTTTCAAAGATTTAAGCATACAAAGGGACAAAGGGACCTAGGGACAGAGAAAGCGACTTTGTTTTATACTATGTAGTGATTTTGAAGTAAGTTTTTAAATAATTAGTTTTCTATAGTCGTTTGCATTGTGCCCTGTGGTCTTCAGTGAGGTGAGGGTTATTTCTCTGGACGGGCGCTCCAATGGAAAAATCTGCTGTTCCTGAACTCTCTTACAGTGATGATGTTCAAAAAGCCATCGTCAGGTACCACATAAATATAAGATCCTTAAATAAATAATGAAGGTTGTTTAATGTGGACCTTTCAAACCCTCGTCAGCCGTAGGAGGCAGTCGTTGAAAATCAAATATTCAACATCTGCATGAGAATAAACTATAAGCCTCATTCCTCTTATTTAAGGAAGCTAGTTAAAAATGTCCAAAAAAAACGGTGAAAACGGAACATAAATACAGTAGACCCGTGTTAATCTCCGTCTAATCCGGCGCCCCCCGTAATCTGACACGCTTATCACTGTCGATTTGCACAAAAGATCAATTGAAATAGATTTTTAGATTTGTTATTTGTCGGATTACAAGCTTAGATTAAAACAAAAAGGGTAGATACGGCACGCTCATACTTGCATCAAACAAAAACTGATCCCACGGCGCGGCGCGGACGGAACGGCGAGATCCGCGTCACTGCATTACCGACCCGAACGAAACAGCACGTTAAGTTTCAACGGCAGCGCGAACGAGACGGCGAGATCCGCGTCACTGCATTACCGACCCGAACGAAACAGCACGTTAAGTTCAACGGCAGCGCGAACGAGACGGCGAGATCCGCGTCACTGCACTACCGACCAATCACGCGACCAGTACTCGACGTCACTACCGAATAAGATTCAAAACAAACAGCATTTTTTATCCAGTCATGGATGTTTAATATGTATTTCTATATAAATATACTTATATATGTACAGTGTATGTATTCTATCCGTTACCCTAGCATCTTATAACACAAGCCTTACAGTGCTTACTTTGGGGCTAGGCTAATTGGTGTGAGTGTTGGAAATATTTATTTATTAATTACTAGTGGCCCGCCCTTGCTTCCCTTCGGTGTAGAGCTGTAGTGTAAACTATAGTTTTTGTTCTCAGGCTTGTGCAATAAACAATGACTTTATTTATATAATTACACGTGTTATTACGAGTCAACCACAAAAGATAGACATATGCTGTTGCGGGATATTTTTTAGAAAATTTAATGTAGAATATTTCCGTCATACATGATTTCTATGTAACTTTAACCATTAAGGCTGCACACGCGACGGAAGCTTAAAAAATGGAGTAACTTCTCCCGTTTTCCCAACATTTCCCTTCACTACTCTGCTGCTTTTGATTGTAGCGTGATGAAAAGTATACTATAACCTGCCCAGGAGTATGAAAAATAATTGTACCAAGTTTAGTTAAAATCCGTCGAGTAGTTTTTGTTTCTATAAGGAACATACACACAGACAGACAGACAGACAAAAAATTTACTGATTGCATTTTTGGCATCAGTATCGATCACTAATCACCCCCTGATAGTTATTTTGAAAATATATTTCATGTACAGAATTGACCTCTCTACAGATTTATTATAAGTATAGATAGATATAAAGGAGAGGTAGGCCAGAAGGTAGGAATTGGAGCGCTCGTCTGGGGAGATAACCTCCACCTTAGAAAAGATTATAATAAAATAACACAGCCTTTTGGTTGTATTGTGTTTCTGTTAGTGATTAAGGTTCAGTCAGGGTTGGCAACAGCGCGAGTATCATTATTAGTATCGCAAGTAGGGTAACTATTTAAAAATTTGAAAAGTCCTGCCAAAAAGCCGGACATTTCGATAAAAGTCCTGGACATTTTAGTCACAAAATGCGAACATCACACACTTAGTTACAGTGATATTACACGCGTGGTAGAGACGCTCGCTTCGCGAGGAGGGTCTCGTCTTTAAAAATCAACATTTTAAAGATAATTTATATTTACAGTAATATGGTACCTATCTAATGCCGCTTCCTATATACTAAATATAAAATTATTATTCTAACTGTATATATACATATCCTAAATGATGTAATGGAAGGTGACTTCAGAAGTATCTCTTAAGTAATTTTTCTGTATATATCAATACAGGGAGAAAAAAGCAGCCTTGCTGAGTTTCTTGCCGGTTCTTCTCACTACAAGGTCTCCCGCCGTAGTTTTGCGAACCGATGGCGTAGCTTCTGACCTTCACAAGTGCTTGTAACAGCCTAGACTGAATAAATGACTTTTCATTTCATTTCATTTGTTTTAAATTAATGAGAACTTAATAAAGATTATTTGACTCATTCGATATAACTTAATAAGTAGTTTTACTCATATTCCATCTGATTAAAGAAACCGGACAAATTAAAAAACCGTACTTAGTCCGGACAAAAGGCAAAAAGTCCGGACTAAGTACGGTAGAGGTCCCGCAAACTCGTTTGCTTCCACCTATATAGTCAGAACAGCTAGGTTGTGGAACTCTTTGCCGGAATCTCTGTTTCCAGTCACCTATAATCTGGGGCTTTTCAAGTCGCGAGTGAATCGGTTTCTTCTAGGCAAGCGCGTCCCACCTTAGGCTGCTACGTCGCTCTTCATCAGTCGCGTGGTCATCATCAGTCCGGACAAATCCGGAAGGATGGTAACCTTCATCATCATCATCAGCCTATTAATGTCCCCACTGCTGGGGCACAGGCCTTCCCTATGGATGGAATAGGGAGATTGGGCCATGACCCACCACGCGGGCCCAGTGTGGATTGGTGGGTGCTAACGACTGCAGATGCAGCCGAGACCAACGGCTTAACGTGCCTTCCGAAGCACGGAGGAGCTCGAGATAGTAAATTTTTGGTCACCCATCCAATGACCACTGCGAAAGTTGCTTAACTTCAACGATCGCAGCCGAACGCGCTAACCACTTGCGCCATCGAGGTCCTCTTACACCACCTATATACTAGAATAATAAAGATGGGAATGGGTTATGGAAGTGTTCCGCGTGAGAGGAAGAGGAGCTACTTCTACCTGATAGATAATAGCCAACCAATTGACGCAACATCAAAAAATCGAACCAATCACGCTCACAGCCGAGAGCAAGGAACCAATCAGCATCAAGTTTTGGTCAAGTCATGACCATTTGTCACACATACAAATCCGGGCGGATGGTAACCTTAATCGCAAGCATCCGCCGTCGTGACCGCTTACCATCAGGCGGACCATACGCTTATTATTGCCACCCTTTTAACATAAAAAAGATATGTAATTATACAATCTCCTTTTCAGGTGACATATGTGACAGCGTTTCCCAAAAGAAAAGCAACAGCTAATCTCACTTACATAGATATAAGCTCAAATATAGGAGGTGCAAGTAAGTTGTAGAAATATTCATTTCATTATGCTTCTCTTACTTAATGCCTAATAGTAATATAAGTTATTTACGGGATTGTTACCATGTACCTTGTTTTTACCGAGTTTCCTATATTTCGGCACTGTTGCAAGAGTTACTCCGTAATCATGGCGCTTGCAACAGTGCCGAAATATCGGAAACTCACTAAATAAAAGGTACATGTTAACAATCCCGTAAATAACTTAATATGACTATAATGTTAATGACCATGAAAGTTTAAAACAATATATTAATGACTAATTATATTAATGAACTAGTGGCCCGCCCTCGCCCTCGCTTCGCTTCGGTGTAGAGCTGTAGTGTAAACTATAGTTTTTGTTCTCAGGCTTGTGCTATAAACAATGACTTTATTTATATAATTACACGTGTTATTGTGAGTCAACCATAAGATAGACATATGCTGTTGCGGATTATTTTTTAGACAATTTTATGTAGAATATTTCCGTCATACATGATTTCTATGTAACTTTAACCATTAAGGCTGCACACGCGACGGAACCTTAAAAAATGGAGTAACTTCTCCCGTTTTCCCAACATTTTCCTTCACTACTCTGCTGCTATTGATTGTAGCGTGATGAAAAGTATACTATAATCTGCCCAGGAGTATGAAGAATAATTGTACCAAGTTTCGTTAAAATCCGTCGAGTAGTTTTTGTTTCTATAAGGAACATACACACAGACAGACAGATAAAAAATTTACTGATTGCATTTTTGGCATCAGTATCGATCACTAATCACCCCCTGATAGTTATTTTGAAAATATATTTCATGTACAGAATTTACCACTCTACAGATTTATTATAAGTATAGATAATTACCGAAAACTTCTTTTCGGACGGGGTGTAAATGGAAAAATCCTTTGGAAAAGATGAATGAGTATGTGTGTGTGTGATGCGTGCATAGCTCTTCCTGAAAGTTGGAGAGTAAATCGGCGAAGGCTGAAACGCTACGAGATCAAAGAGGGATATATATATATATATATATACAGTCAGGTCATAAGTATTGTCACACAGTAAAAATTTTTCTTATAGAATGCTGGCCACAAAAAAAGTTTATGGAATTCGAATTTCGAATTGTTCATGAAAATAAAAATGTTTACTTTTTAGAATTTTACTCATTTTTAAATATGGAGTGGACGCTTAAAGAAGACGGTGTTGCAGTTATTGCGTTGCATCGTTGCGGTTACGCGCCAATTCAATTTTTTGTCATACTGAAAAATTTTAATTTAACCAAAAGATTCGTTTATCGTACCATCAAACGATACAATGAAGACTCTAGTGTAGATGTCAGGTCAAGAAGTGGTCGCCCTCGGTCTGTTAGGACTCCAGCAGTGATAAAAGCTGTGAAGGCGCGAATTCAAAGAACTGCCAATCGTAAGCAGAAACTTTTGGCCCTTCAGATGGGGTTAAGCAGAACCACGGTGAAAAGGATGTTAAATGAAGACTAAGGGCTTTGGGCATATCGAAGAAAAATAGGACATCGTTTCAATGCTCTTCGAAAGGACCTGAGACTGAAGAGATGCCGCGCTTTGTTACAATCCTGACGAACCTTGTGGAACCTGTTTCTCATACCATGTTCAATAACAGGCACTGGGTATTCCAACAAGATTCGGGTCCAGTTCGTAGAGCGAAGAGCACACAAGACTGGCTGGCGGCGCGTGAAATCGACTTCATCCGGCACGAAGACTGGCCCTCCTCCAGTCCAGATTTGAGTCCGTTAGATTACAAAATATGGCAACACTTGGAGGAAAAGGCGTGTTCAAAGCCTCATCCCAATTTGGAGTCACTTATGACATCCTTGATTAAGGCAGCCGCCGATATTGACATGGACATCATTCGCGTTGCGATAGACGATTGGCCGCGCAGATTGAAGGCCTGTACTCAAAATCACGGAGGTCATTTTGAATAAACTCTATTGTCATAATAATCTATGTTTTGTTAAGTTCATTTTGGTATATAAATGATTACATAATGAATAAACTTGTTTCAATTATTGACGTGACAACGTCTTAAATTAGGTTGCGGCTGGGAGTCACTTATGAAAAAGTGTAACGCTCGGTAACGTTACGATGAGTCTCGTAGCATGCTGGAACCCCGTAGCCGTGTAGCAAGTTTGCTACGAATCGTCGTAGCGTGGTTGCATGCTACGATGGTATTCACAAGCACAATGCATTGTAATATGTTTTTTTGACGTATTATATATATTTCTATAGTTAAAATTTGTGCAATTCTTATTTTCATTCAATTCCTTGTTCCTATTGTGCAATTTAATTATATTCATATCAATAAATATTCTACCGAGAAAAAGACGTTGTCACGTAAAATCTTCGCCCGTAAAACCGACTTTACAGGCAACCATTTTTTTATATTAAACATGTGACAGAATCTATGACCTGACTAGGTATAATGGCGAACTTCGTACCGCATAAAAAAATAGGGGTTGGTGGTAGAATGCTGAAAATTTGGGGTTGTATGTATTTTTGTATGATGTATCATAAAAAATTAAAAACGTATCGTCCACCATATCGTCCGCATAGATTAAGTTATTAACACATGCTCCGCCAATGTGACGACTGACTGACTGATAAAGATCCACGCGGACCAGGCAGCAGACAGGACTCAAACCAGCACCCTTCGCTATCCGGGCGAATGCACTGACAAATTATGCTACTGCGGCCTGACGGCGGTGTCCAATTCTTTCTAGCCTTTCTTATGCTGCAAGGCAGCGCCATCTCTTCGCATTGTAGGTAACCCACAATGTTATGTGAATACCTTTACAAGTATTAAACATTTAACATAAGAAATAAATAAATAATAATAATAAATATTTCCAACACTTACACCAATAGGGAAGATGCAATATTTTTATTTTCGTTTTCATTTTAAAGAATTCCATGTAGAATAAACCACAGATATATTAAAAAATTAAAACATTGTGATTTATAGGAAAAAATGCGGTTTTAAATTGACAATTTAAATTTTCGCGCGAAAATGAACCTATGTTTGCGATAACGTCACTCCTGTCTGTCACTGGTCGTACTTGTTCGTTGCTGGCTTTAAATTTTCATACTTTTGCATATTTTTTCGACTTTCGAAATTTTTTTTTGAAAAATTTAAAATGGACTATCTATCAACATTATGTGATCATAACAATAAATCTAATATTCCGAAAAAAAGCCGTGTTGACTCATGTTTTGTGCCAATCTACTTCAACAAAGTTCCCAAATAAATTGTTTTTGACTGGAATTTCTGACCCAAAACTGAAAAAAAGTGGTTTCAAGCTGCGAAGAGAAATGACAATTATTCTCCAAAGACCATTATTCGATGCTGAGAAGATCACTTTGACGTAAGTCGGCGAATATACTTGTTATATGCTTAATTAATCTGCTTGTACGTAAAAACGCATTAGTAACCTACCTAATACTTAGAAAACCTGTCTATAACATATTTTGAATTTTACAGTTGGAGAATGACGTCGAAAATTAGATAAAGTTTAAAATGTGTGGCACAATCTTCGCATTGGCAGGCGGCAGGACTGAACCAAGCTTTGCGTTTCATTTAAAATAACTGTAACACGATAACCTTCTTTATGTACTTTATGCTCCGGAGAACTCGACCTTTCACTGTACATAATTTTCCATCTCTTTTAATTTCGACATAGCCGATTGCATTATAGCCGTAAGATTTGTAGAAGCCGCTGAATAAAATACGAAGTTTAACAACTACGATTTTTACATACCGTAGTAATTTAGTCCCTTTCATTTCTACACTTAAAAACTCTGCACTTTGGACAAAAAAAGTTATAACCATGTCAACGCTAACTCTTGGTAAATTCCTGGAGTCTGCTTTGATAAACGCAACTTCCATTTTTATTAAATGTAAAAAAACGCAATAAATATTCCCATAAAATAATATTTACTTTAACAACCATACCCTCAAAGAAGTTGTCATAACAGGAGTGACGTCACTAAACGCTGATTGGTGTTTTAAAATACGTTCCGTTTCAAGTATTTTTAATTAGTAATAATTGTTAAAAAACAACATCATGTAAAATAAAAACTTTGCAGTGGCATTTCTTTTATATATTTTTAACATTTTAATCATAAAATTTTCATAAATATTATATATGCATCTTCCCTATTAGCCTAGCCCCAAAGTAAGTACTGTAAGGCTTGTGTTATGGGATGCTAGGGTAACGGATAGAATACATATACTGTACATATATAAGTATATTTATATAGAAATACATATGAAACATCCATGACTGGAATCCACCGGGACTCTAACCCGGGACCTCTCGAGTAGGCGACACCATGAAACCCGGCGTACAAACCACTCGGCTACGGAGGTCGTCAAATAATATACATTAATAGGCTGATGATGATGATGATGATGGTGAACCCTGACTTTAGCTGTCTTTTCCACATCAGAAAAGACACCAGGAAAATTCACCAACACTGAGTTCATTTAGATTACTTAATCAAGCAGCCGTCTTTGATCTACTGAAAAACTGAAAACTTGCTTTGATGTGACAGCGATAAACTTCATAAAGTAATAAATTGTTTTTCCAACTTTCAGAACCGTTTAAATTAATGTTTACCGTATTTACTTTGAATATTTGAGTGACTGTACTTAAAATAGGAGATTTAAAAGATTACGTCGTAATGATCTACAGTATTAACAGTAGTCATATACAGTCACTTTATTTAGTTTGGGATTCACCTAAAGTTGAATATCGGACAGCAAACAGATAAGAAACATCTTATGAGCAATCGGTAAAAAAAAATTCATAATCATAATCAAAATCATTTTTTTTATAGATAGGTCCGACAAATGCCTCCACCGCACCTGATGTTAAGTGAAGGTGAAGTCCAGACGCGAAGATAGCTGATACAGCAGTTCTACCTGCCACACCAGCCATCCTCACCCTGCCGGCCTGCATGTTGCTTCTTCATGCCTCTTTTAAAGGATCCCAGGTTGTAAGAAGGAGGGAACACGGGAGCGGGCAGAGCATTCCATTGATGGATTGTGCGACAAAGAAATGAGTCACCAAATTTCTTTGTACGCGTTGGAATTGTGGCCACAGTTAGACGGTGACAACGTAGGCCAGCGCGCGTGGTCCTCTGAAGGAAAGGGGAAGGTGGGATAAGAGAGAATAACTCCTCAGAATACTCGCCGTGGTACAAACGATAGAACGCGCTTAGTAACGCCACGTCACGGCGTAATTGAAGAGTGCTCAGGCTTATTCAGTTTAGGCTGTTACAAGCACTCATGAATGTCTAGAAGCTACGCCATCAGTTCGTAAATCTACAGCGGGAGACCTTGTACCGAGAAGAACCGGCAAGAAACGCAGCAAAGGCTGTTTTTTGTCCCTGTTTTATTATTTACAGGGTCGTCAAGTTGAAAAATGACTTCAGAGATGATTCATGAAGTCACCTTTCATTACATAATGATTAAATATTCAGTCAATGCTCTGTTTATACTTATTCTTATTTCAATACTGTAGAGACAACTACTTACCTACTCATTTTAGACGCCATCTTTACGGACCCGAGAAGCGTAAGAAAATCATCGATAAATTAACTTTCCATTTAACTTGAACTTGCCCTTTAGAAAGGAGTTAGATGTTCTGAAATGTCAATTAATTCGAAAAAAATTACCTCTACGTTTTAACGCCATATTCTTCTGGAGATTTCGACGTTATTGAAAAGCGAATGTTCAAACCACATTTCAATGAAATAGATCCCAAATTGAATCCAAAGCGTCTGACTGTACATTAAGAGGTTTATTTGAGAACTAAACGCTTCTGAATGAGAAGCGGAAGAACAACGAAGAAAATTAGTTAGGAAAGTGATTTTATGAGTTATCTCATATTGAAGTCATTTTTCAATTTGACGAATCTGTATATAATACAGGGAGAAAAAAACAGCCCTTGCTGAGTTTCTTGCCGGTTCTTCTCAGTACAAGGTCTCCCGCTGTAGATTTACGAACTGATGGCGTAGCTTTTCGACATTCACAAGTGCTTGTAACAGCCTAGACTGAATAAACAATATTTAATTTTGAATTTTTTAGTACAACTTCTTAATTTCTTAACTCTATCCCCCTTATTAATAGGATTAATAACTCCATGTTTTATCTCTGTTCATTAAATTACAAACAGCATTTGAGTCATAGGAACAACAATACGACGTAGCTAAGATTATTTCTTTATTATTAATAATGGGATTGGTGTTTAAGATTAAGTCCATAGACAAGTCATGTCAGGTGCTGACCATAATACGTTCCAAACATTGTTTCAGGCCACAGACCAGATCTGCACAAGCTTCCCCTAGTGCCTCTCAGTATTCCACAGATACTGAGGCAAGGGGTGGAGATCTCCGAACACACGCTGCAGCATGACGCCGTGCGGGGGATCATGATGGACCCAGCAGTAACCTTCGACTTGGTTCTGGTCCACTGGTTCTATAGCACACTGCTGGCACCGTGAGTTGAAACATCATCATCACAGAATATTAATGTATTAATGTCCCCACTGATGGGGCACAGCCATTCCTTTTAGATGGAATAGGGAGATTGGACCGTGACTCACCACGCTGGCCTTGTGCGGATTGTTGGGTACTAATGACTGTAGATGCAGACGGCTCAACGTGCCTTCCGAAGCACGGAAGAGCTCGAGATAAAAAGTTTTTAGTCACCCATCCAATGACCGACCACTGCGAAAGTTGCTTAGCTTCCTCGATCGCAGGCCGAAAGCGCTTACCACCTGTGCCATCGAGCTCCTACGGTAAGTTGAATACAATTAATCATCTACAATTTTTGTAGACTTTACAATTAATACCTAATCCAGTCTAATCTAGAACAATCATGAAGAGACATTGAGTAATTTGTAAGACTTTCCTTAAATAAATTTCTTAGTATTCTTAACTTAAATTAAATTGACTATTTACATTAGTTGCATTTATAACAGAATACTTAGTCATGTTTGTTGCTTGAATAATGGCAAGTAAGCTAAGCTATTTTGAAATTATTTTGAGAATAACAAACATCCATCCATCAGCCTTTCTCCGTCCTCTGCTGGACATAGGCCTCCCCCATAGAACGCCACAATGCGCGGTCCTGCGCTATCCGCATTCAGCGGCCCAACCAACGAGTAGGTTGGTAGGTAATAGGGGTGATGACGGGGTACATTAAACGAAATTCTATTTAGTCCGTCAGTTAGATGATCAAAAAATAATGGACACGTATTTTTTCTTGGGGCAATCAACCAAAAAATTACAAAGTTATAGCGCGTCAAAGTTTGGGAGTAGGGGCTCGTGACGTCACTTTTGAGTGAATTTTCCCTTATAAGTGTACTCAAACGTGACGTCATGCGACTTTTCAAATCAATATATCTCTGCAATGTTTATATTATGTGAAAAAAGAAAATATACGTGTCCAATACTTTTTGATAATCTACCTGATAAACGAAGAAAAAAAAATAGTCATCATCCCTATTATATATGTACTTACTTACTCGTATTTTTAGAATCGAGACCGTTCCCTCAGTAATTACTGGCACATCTCTGTTGTAATTTAAGTTGTCAGAACACTAATTTGCAAGCGTGAAGAGAGAACCAACTGAAACAATCCTGATTTAAATATTCAATAGAAGTACTTATCTTTGTTGTCGACGCTACTCGCTCGGATCGGAAGATAACGTCTGTGTTTAGGTATTTCTTGTTAATGGTTTAATAGCAAAATACAATTAATTATTTGATTGTCATCAAAGAAAAGCACGTACATTTTTATCTGCGCAATTTTTAGGAATTCCCTTTAATAAGCATCCTTTGTTAGGCTCTCGCTTGTCAGCGGGCCGTATTTCATGAACCGTTACAGGTATACAGTTGAAATTTTCCCGGAATGTGTATTTATATTGCCGCTGTAAGAAAAATATAATGAGACTGGAAAATAGAGGGTTTCATAAACATGATTTTATTTCGGAGTTGACTGGCTTCTTTTATTAGCTGAAGTCTTTTGTAAGGTGATGGATACTTACTCAGTCGCGCGTTTCTGTCGGTGTAGTCTTGGCGGACTATTCACTGCCTCTTCGTGTGGTACGCGACAGGGGAAGCTTGTCGTATCTGCAGCTGGTGTACAAGCAGTTCACGCCTACAGCCTACAGCGCACGGCCTCACTACCATCGCCTCCCATCGACCCCCTTCACGATAGTTGAAGTTTACTTGCTTAGATGTACGATTTCGTTTGTAAGACTACACAAACGAAATCGTACATCTATATGTTCGGTTGCCCCCTGATTTAGTACGCGGCAAGAAACGCTTGCTGGGAGTTCCTTCAGCTGGTGCACGAGCAGTTTAGCCCCGTCTACAGCACACAGCCTCACTCCCATTGCCTCCAATCGACCCCTTTCAAGATAGATGGATGTTACTTGCTTACACGTGTGATTTTGTTTGTGTAGTCTTGGCAGTCTATTCAACTGCCCCCTGGTGTGGTACGCGGCAGGGGACGCTTGCTGGGCATCCCTCCAGCTGGTACACGAGCTGCCCAGTCCTGCCTACAGTGTCGGACCTCACTCCCATCACCTCCCATCGATCCCCTTCACGATCAACGATAGAATCACGCAGCTGTGGCAACAGCTGTATTTCGGGTTTTGGACACGGTTTGTATCCAATAAAATTTGATAAATCTTGTTTTTTCATACATAGAGGTACGTCATCTGCAGTTCTTTTCATCCCCATACCGAAATTGATCAAAGTCGGTTCAGCAGGAGTTTATTTATTTATTTATTTGATCACCAACAAAGTTACACTTACACATTTATTATTTACACATTTATAGTACGACACATTATTAGTGAAACTTTAATTATAGGCGATTACGACATGCAATTCACACTTAACTAGCAATTAAATCTTATAAAATTTTGATAATTACATTAATTTCAGTACAAAACAATTATGAATAAAAATAAAATTTTAAATTGTTAATAAATAAGTAAATTTATGGAACAATTAAATAACAACAATTAAATAAATTTGTGAATAATAAATTAATGAAAATAAATTAATGAAAAATAAATCAATGAAAAAACTATGTGGGCACAACCAAACATAAAGATTTTATTCTGTTCAGTGTATCCGCGAAGATGTCCATATCGGTCGACTTTGACAGTGAATTGTACTGAGAGAGCATTCTATTTATAGGAGAAAATAAGCCTAGTTTCGTTCTGGAGCTTCTCGTCGCAAACAAATTATACCTTGACCCTCTTGGAAGTTTTAAGGGGATATTAAAATATACTCTTGAGAGCAAATCGGGACAGTCCATAGTACCATTAACGAGCTTATGCAAGAAAACATTATCTAAAATAAATCGGCGATCGCTTAATGAGTCCATTTTAAAGTATCGTAGCCTATCTTCGTAGTGTGGAAGCTTTTTTGCAAGATTGAGGTTGTAAGAAAGATGCCATAAAAACCTTTTTTGGACGCGCTCTATCTTTTTAACGTATACATCATAGTGTGGATTCCACACCACACTACAATATTCCAATCCACTACGTACAAGTGCGTTATATAGTGTTATTTTAGTTTGTGGACTTTTGAATTCCTTTATGTTGCGCAAAACGAAACCAAGCGCTCGGTAAGCCTTAGCCACCATGTCATCAATTTGTTTGTTAAATCGCAACCCTGCATCCACAATAACTCCCAAATCACGAATATAATCCACGCTTGCAATTTTATTATTTTTTAAGACATATTCTCCAGCAAATATTTTTTTACTGCGTGTAAAGTGAACCACAAAACATTTCTTCGTATTAAGAGACATGCCATTTTCATCGCACCACTCAACCAGATTGTCAAGATCCCTTTGAAGAAGAACCACATCGTCGGGCTTAGAAATGTGCCTTAAAATTTTAAGATCATCAGCGAACAAATAGCATTTGCAGTTGTTAAAACGCTTATAGATATCGTTGATGAAAATATTGAAAAACACAGGGCCAAGGATCGAACCCTGCGGGACACCACGATGGGCACAGAAAGGGCTCGACTCGTAGCCATTCACTACAACTTTTGAACTTCGGTTGCTTAAATAAGATTTACACCATTTTAATAAGTTACCGCTGATCCCAATAGACGATAGTTTTTTGAGTAGCACATGGTGGCTAACCCTATCGAACGCTTTACTGAAATCGGTGTATATGACATCAGTAGAATTTCTTTGATCTAAGGAACTGGACAAATCGTCTATAAGAGTAATCAGGTTGGTGCAAGTAGATCTTGCCTTAAGGAAACCATGTTGCTGTGGTGAGACTAGTTGCCGAAAATGCTGAGAAATAATAGGGCGCAACATTGATTCAAAGACTTTAGCAAATGTAGGAAGTATGGAAATCGGTCTATAGTTGTCAATTTGACTAATGTGACCTACTTTATGCAAGGGTAAGACCAATGACACTTTCCAGTTAGATGGAAACACACCAGTGCTCAAAGATTTGTTAAATATAATCGAGAGGGGGTAAGCGAGGACATCGGCACATCTATTAGCAAAAATAGAAGGGATTCCATCCGCACCAGCACCCTTAAATAAGTCAAGTCTCTTTAAAACTTTATATACCTGATCTTTAGTAAAGTAGATGGAACTTAGGCATTGAGTATTAGTATCATCACTAGCAACTGTATCGATACCTGCATGGTGAGTAATGCCATCGTATACTAATGAAAAATGTGATGCAAAGAGATCACAGATTTCCCCTCCCCCCGATGCAGCTCTATCACCTAAAAACATTTCTGCTGGGTACGCGCTTTTACCTTTTTTTTTGCGTTTGATGAAAGACCACAACAGTTTAGGGTTACTAGTTAACGTTTGTTCTAAACGAAACATGTATTTATTGTAAGCAGCCGTCAGCAACTTTTGGCATCTGAGTTTTAGCAATTTTAATGCCAAAACATCACGCGGGTTACTATTGAACTTGCGAATTTTCATTCGATATTTGTATTTCTCTTTAATTGCTGCTATCAAACCTGATGAAAACCACGGTGGGTATTTGCTATTCCGAGGCCTAGATTTTGGCACATACTTCTCCACCACAGAACGAAGGATAGAATGGAATTTAGCCGTCATCAAATCCACGGTCAAGCTGTCCAACAGTACTTCATCCCATGGTATCACCTGCAGCTCCTCAATAATCCTGGCATAATTTGCCTTAAAGAAGCAAAATCTTTCTTCATTATTAGGGGATAAAGTTGTAGGACTAATATTAGCTATTGAGAATTGCAATGGTGGATGCAAGGGGTCAACTGAAGTTAAAGGATCGATACTCTCAGTTAAGTCAATAATATCCACTGCACTGAGCACCAAATCCAAAATCCTTCCCTTATTATTTAGGATACTATTGTATTGCTCCAGTGTATTCAAACTCAGGAAATCCAACAACTCCTGCCCAAACCTGCCGCCTGTGCTGCAACCTGTAAGTGAAGTTGACCCTCGACTTGGGCACCATGATACACTGCTCAAGTTAAAGTCACCCACAATGATTGCATGCCCCAAACCATGGTTGGAGGAAATAATTTGGTTTGCATTATCAATGAAGTGATCCAAAATGCGGGCCTGAATAGGGGGAGGCAAATATACACAACAGATAATAAGTTTTTCAACTTCCTTGTGATTGGCGACATCTATGGATACCCAAATATCTTCACAATTAGATTCTAAATTACTTAAACGCATAGATTTAAATCGGACTGAAATTGCCACGAGAACACCACCGCCATCCTTATGGGAATGGAAGCCGCTACTCTCCCTATCTCTCCTATAAATAACGTATCTAGGATCAAAAAGCTCCGAATCATAAACACTAGAGTTAAGCCAAGTCTCAGTAAATATGATAACATCAAAATGATTACAAACTACGTTATTAAATAAATCCACTGTCTTAGTCCTTAAACCTCTAACATTCTGATAGTATACTTTTAAATTATTGAATTTTAATATAATATATGTCATCGCATGGATAAAAGCAAAATAACACAATAAAAAAAAAAATTAAGATAATTTTTTTAGGGTATCGTGATTTCGTACGTAAATATAATTAGATTCATCAGACTTTCTCATAAATATCTTGCCTTCCCGAACCCAGACAAACTTAAATTGTAACTCCTTTGATTTACGGCGAGCAGCAGCGTGAAGCTCTTTATTTTCCAGTGTTAGATGTTCCACTACGAACACAGCACTCTTTTTCTCTTCTCCTAAGCCGAGATGACTTGTGTTTAACTTATTATCGGGGTTATTCTTATTAAATGTTGATGTTGCAGCCAAAAATGATTCCCTCAAGCGTGGACTCCTGAATTTTACCAATATGGACCTCGGTCGTGTATTGTTTGTATTCATCTTTGCCACTCTAGAGCAATAGTAGATATCGGTATCGGTTATTGGACATTTTATAACTTTTCCCAATTGCATTACCACATTCACCAAATTTTCCTGCTTGTGCTCAGGCACGCATTGAATCTCTAAGTTAGCCGCGCGAGTTTGTTGATCAAGCTGACGTACCCTAGCGGACAATTCTTGTGTCGTATTGCGTAGAAATTCGTTTTCTTTACGGAGTGTTTCAATGGTGTTGTTTTGGGCAGATGTGATAGCCTTTATTTTCTCGAATTCCTCATTATAAAAAGACAAACTTGCCTCAAATGAAGTCATGCTTTTCTCAATTTTCTGTAGGTCAGCATTTATTTCGGTTTTTATGTGACATAACTCCTCCCTTATAATAGTTCTAATATCTGACGCTGTGAGACATGAGCAAGGGGAACCCCGAATCGGAGCAGTAGTCCCGGAAACGGATACCTTCTGTTTAGTACGCAAAGTAACATTGTCGTAGTGAGAGACAGTTGAACTCAATGGCTGTGTCTGTGATGCCGGACGGACCGGTGTATTACAATTATTACCGCTTTTCGGTTCTTTACATCTACATGCGGGGCAAATCCACGAAAACTTAAACTCAGAAGAAAAGCCTCTAAAATCATCTGCTGTAAAATTCATACATGTGTAATGATATTGCTCTTCACAACGACAACAACGCAGAAATCCGATATTCTTCAAAGTATTTGGGCAGGCAGCACAAACATTATTCTTATTAGGCATTGTTTATTTATAAAAAAACAGATGGTATTGCAAGTTGTAGGTAAAGTAAACTTTATCAAACAATCAGTTAGAAACGTCCTCGAGCACTGATAGTAGTTGCATGCGGTGGCGACGAAAAGGTCTTAAGCGCCGTGGGGACCGCGTCACTTACGCGTATTCTTCAAAACGACGTATTCGGAGATTACACACCACAAACTTGTTTGTTTTAGGAATTTATAATTTCGTTTTTAGTAGAATAAATTTCACGTATAAAATATTAGCACTTAATGCTTCTTTTGAACCATTTTTCACTCAATAATTCACGTTATTTACAGTCAAAATTATTAAATAACTTGAGAGCAGACAAATAAACAGAGTTTAGATAGATAAATGTTAGTTCGGAATACCAACTGAGTCAATGTAGGAAATAAATTGTCTCGAATCCGTGTCATTGTAAAACCTTGGCTATTCTCATCTATCAAATACTTGACAAAGTGATGTGTGAATTACGTCTTTTTATCGTTATCGCTATATTGTGATCGAGACAGCATCAACTTAAATCAAACTAAATCTAATCATTATCATGTAACAAAACAATTTCGAACTCCTCAGCTATTACTTAGATTACGTGGAGCCCCCGATATACGAGGCAACATACGCCGCAGCGATGCGCGTACGCGGACTAGTGCCGCCTCCGTACGATCTTGTGGCGAAGAACGGGTCTACGCTGCTGCTCAACTCGCACCCGCCGCTGGGGCAGTCGTTACCGCTGCCGCTCAATGCGAAGCTTGTAGGCGGCCACCACTTGCGTCCACTCAAACCTTTGCCTGAGGTATCTAATCTCTGTCGTCGACGTGGTATGTGTGCGGACTAGTGCCGGCTCCAAACGACGTGATGGCAATGAACAGGACCCTGCTGTTGCTCAATACACACCTGCCACTAGGGCTGCTGTTACCACTGCCACTTAACGATCACCATTTACGACCACTCAAGCCCTTGCCTGAGGTATGTCAGTCAAGTCTCAGCTCAAATTTGCTGGCAATGAAGATTATGCTTGTATGGTGACACCAATTGCGACCAGTCAGTCTTCTGCAAGTATATATTATTATGATTTTTAAGAGCGCAGGGCTATATAAAATAAGAACAGACTGACAGTTTCCTGTTTCGCTCCTATTCCGTCGGCCTATGCACGTCTTATAATACCCCGACAACGAAATCACACGTGCCAACGCGCCTCCGACTCCTCCCGCACAGGCCACAAACACCAACACTACACAGCTAGCAAACGTGCACACTAGCTTAGCATTAGGCAGACACCCCACCCGTAGGATAAGAGTGCGAAGACTCGGTACAGATGCGAACCTAGGCGGTTTTCCCCACCCACCATGACAACGGCTACCTAGAGCCGAGCTTCGAGTCTCACTGACGCCCTCTAGTTGAGCCGACCCCCTCAGGTTCGAGTGGTCTACAGGCTCTAGACGGAGAGGAGGCTCGCCCGTGGGGAGATGCCATCCGCCTGGAATACCTCTAGAGGCACTCTCCAATTCTCAGCTTGAAGTCACATTAGGATCTCGTCCGTTCCCAAACCCGGTGACGCTGTAAAGGTCATCTGTGACCAACAGCATATACACTCAAATAAAGTTTACTGTCTAACTATTAAAAAGTACTGGTCAGATGAGCATGAGAGAGACGAAGCGATCATGCGACAAGCAGTTCGTCTGCAAATCTATTTACTGCACCATTTATCGCTATCCTCAGTCCATTCTAAAGAAAAATGTCTATTGATAGGACAAAGGTTTGCTGCTTGAATTGGAGTGTCCATCTAAGGATGTAACCTCAACTTTACAAAAGCCGGATAAATATGTAGATATTACGAAACGTTGACCGTAATCCTAAGATATTAGTACTTAAGTTACAGCGATCAAAAACTTATTCTTAATAAAATACTAGTACAGTCAATCTGTCGAAAAAAATATCGTTTCAGTGAAAAAAAAACCTAAAGGGTAAGTCTTGTTTTTTCTGTTGCCAAATGACGTCAGTAAGCCACCTTGGCGATGGGGATGTTCAACTCGTAGGCCTTTTTTGAAAAACTCAAAAAAACTGTCATAAATTTTTTGAAACGCATTTTTCTTGTTTTGTATGCATTTTAGAAACTTTTTTTTCGACCATAATTGTAGAGAGCGTTGTGTTCTACAATTTATGTCATTGTTGCAATCTCGTACAACAAAAAATGCGCATTGTAGGTGGCGCTAAAGTCTCAAAAAAAGTGTTTTTTCACTTTTTCACCCTGAAAATATCATTTTAATAGAAAACTTTAAATGGCAAAGTTGTTTCGTACATAATTACCAACAACTTTTGTATAAACATTTTTTTTGTATTACTTACCGTTTTCAAGTTATAAATTGCGCAGAGGTATGAAAAATCCAATAAAGCGGTTTTGGGCAGTTCAAGTACACATTTGCAGTGCACATTTCAATGTACGTTTTACTATTTTTTATTTTTTTTCGTGATTGAAAAACAAAAAAAATGAAAAAAAAAATGTTTTATTTTTTTTCATGATTGAAAAAAAAAATAGTAAAAACGTACATTGAAATGTGCACTGCAAATGTGTACTTGAACTGCCCAAAACCACTGTATTGGATTTTTCATACCTCTGCGCAATTTATAACTTGAAAACGGTAAGTAATACAAAAAAATTGTTTATACAAAAGTTGTTGGTAATTATGTACGAAACAACTTTGCCATTTAAAGTTTTCTATTAAAATGATATTTTCAGGGTGAAAAAGTGAAAAAACACTTTTTTGAGACTTTAGCGCCACCTACAATGCGCATTTTTTGTTGTACGAGATTGCAACAATGACATAAATTGTAGCACTCAACGCCCTCTACAATTATGGTCGAAAAAAAAGTTTCTAAAATGCATACAAAACAAGAAAAATACGTTTCAAAAAATTTTTGACAGTTTTTTTGAGTTTTTCAAAAAACGCCTACGAGTTGAACATGCCCATCGCCAAGGTGGCTTACTGTCGTCATTTGGCAACAGAAAAAACAAGACTTACCCTTTAGGTTTTTTTTTCACCACTCAACCTACAGATTGACTGTACTATACCTCCGCGCGTGGGTGGAGACGTGGCGCTCGGATCAAGAAATGAAGATACGGATCAAGATCGTACGTGAGCCTTTTAACAAAATTATTAAACTGCTGTATTGCTAACAGACCTCAAAGTACGTATCCTTTTAAATCCTAATACTAGTTTCTTTATGGCGAAGATAGGGCATCAGTTGGCTAATGGTCCTGAGATAAATAATGTTTAACTAACACCAAAATCAATTGTTTATTCACGATCACAAGTTCTCAATCAGGTTCAGCGAGCTTAATGGTATTGAGCTATATTATACTTAACAAAAAAAAAATACGTGTGTGTCAGCTCCGACGCACGACTGGAGTTTACTCCTTAAGTTCGATAGTCTAACCAGACGCAAAAAGAGTTTATTTAACTTAAAAAAGATTGATACTGTATGAAAGGGTAAATTAACAAAGTAATGAAAATAATATACATATTCATTTCACATTTTTACAAAAGTCGATTTCAGATGTGCATAAATATATCATTAGGAATTTTGATAAATTATGTAATTATTATTATCAGACTATTATCATTTTTTTAAATATTAATTAAATCATTGTCTGCATTATTAATTACAGTGACAAGTGGTTTATAGTAACTAAAATAAGACACATGGACGTTCGTAGATACGTGGTTCACGAATCTTGAAAATACCGCATCAGTGGTTGTACCATACCTCGTTGTCCCCATTGCTCTATCAGAAACAATATCTAAATTCAGTTCAGATTTTAAAAAATTTATTAATGTCAATCCGTCATCTTTGTTTGTCAAAGTTGCGCGACATAGGATGCGCACCAAAAACGTAACGAGGTCATTCATCGATAGATTTTACTCCTCACATTTTTCTCATACCGGGCCCCTTATATATGCAAATCGATTCTTAACGAGTAAACTCTAAATATATAGTTCGTGTGGCATTACATGTTAAAATAATATCAAGTACCTATGAATGATTTGAATATTGGGCGCCTGATTGGCGTTATAGCTCACACGTGGCTCCATTTACAGCTGGCGTCTCTGTGTTAGCCGTTTAACACTCTTCACTGCTAATGCAAATCCGCTTCCACGTGACGTCATCATCCCGATATTTCCGATTGATATTGGCTTTGCCAATCGCCATCCGGAAATTTCTGTAATATTTTAGTACAGCAATATATCGAATGTTTACGAGGTTTTCGCAGAAATTCTGGGTATAAGCGCAGTACAAGATTTCATTACGATAAATGCTTATAGCAAGATAAACATCCTGTTCTTACATTAAAAGAAATATTTTTATTTAATTTATAAATATTTATACTAATATAAAACATTCTTTAATTACTTTTAAAATTAATTTGATAATTTTTCCTCTGTTCAGGCGATGATTTTTTCAAAATAAATATGATATGGTATACTACTGATATAATGCCATATTTATTTTGCAAAAATCATCACTCGACTGCTTAATTCTTGTAATCAATTTCTTTTTATGTTAAGTTTTGTTCTTCTTGTTTTTGTATCCTGGAAATCTAACAATCTTACAATTTTTGTGGTCATCTACTAACATACTTTCAGTCGGTTCCTTACGTGCAGTTTAATATAGCTTGCAATTGAAACACCTTCAAAACTTTACAGAAATTCCAAATATTTATGGATAACGCGAAACACGGGTTGATATTCATGGAGCTCGGTGCTGGCGTGGAGAGCTCGGACATGCCGCAGCATGTTCGGAAGCGGCTGCTGGACATGTTCGGCGAGCTGCAGCACCAGGTGGTGTGGCGGCTGGACGAGCGCCCGCCGCATGCGGCCCGCAATGTGCATGTGCTGGAGCGGGCGCCTGCACTGGAGATGTTATGTGAGTACTGAGATATCATACATGTCCCGCCAGCTGCAGCACCAGGTGGTGTGGCGGCTGGACGAGCGCCCGCCGCATGCGGCCCGCAATGTGCATGTGCTGGAGCGGGCGCCTGCACTGGAGATGTTATGTGAGTACTGAGATATCATACATGTCCCGCCAGCTGCAGCACCAGGTGGTGTGGCGGCTGGACGAGCGCCCGCCGCATGCGGCCCGCAATGTGCATGTGCTGGAGCGGGCGCCTGCACTGGAGATGTTATGTGAGTACTGAGATATCATACATGTCCCGCCAGCTGCAGCACCAGGTGGTGTGGCGGCTGGACGAGCGCCCGCCGCATGCGGCCCGCAATGTGCATGTGCTGGAGCGGGCGCCTGCACTGGAGATGTTATGTGAGTACTGAGATATCATACATGTCCCGCCAGCTGCACCAGGTGGTGTGGCGGCTGGACGAGCGCCCGCCGCATGCGGCCCGCAATGTGCATGTGCTGGAGCGGGCGCCTGCACTGGAGATGTTATGTGAGTACTGAGATATCATACATGTCCCGCCAGCTGCAGCACCAGGTGGTGTGGCGGCTGGACGAGCGCCCGCCGCATGCGGCCCGCAATGTGCATGTGCTGGAGCGGGCGCCTGCACTGGAGATGTTATGTGAGTACTGAGATATCATACATGTCCCGCCAGCTGCAGCACCAGGTGGTGTGGCGGCTGGACGAGCGCCCGCCGCATGCGGCCCGCAATGTGCATGTGCTGGAGCGGGCGCCTGCACTGGAGATGTTATGTGAGTACTGAGATATCATACATGTCCCGCCAGCTGCAGCACCAGGTGGTGTGGCGGCTGGACGAGCGCCCGCCGCATGCGGCCCGCAATGTGCATGTGCTGGAGCGGGCGCCTGCACTGGAGATGTTATGTGAGTACTGAGATATCATACATGTCCCGCCAGCTGCACCAGGTGGTGTGGCGGCTGGACGAGCGCCCGCCGCATGCGGCCCGCAATGTGCATGTGCTGGAGCGGGCGCCTGCACTGGAGATGTTATGTGAGTACTGAGATATCATACATGTCCCGCCAGCTGCAGCACCAGGTGGTGTGGCGGCTGGACGAGCGCCCGCCGCATGCGGCCCGCAATGTGCATGTGCTGGAGCGGGCGCCTGCACTGGAGATGTTATGTGAGTACTGAGATATCATACATGTCCCGCCAGCTGCAGCACCAGGTGGTGTGGCGGCTGGACGAGCGCCCGCCGCATGCGGCCCGCAATGTGCATGTGCTGGAGCGGGCGCCTGCACTGGAGATGTTATGTGAGTACTGAGATATCATACATGTCCCGCCAGCTGCAGCACCAGGTGGTGTGGCGGCTGGACGAGCGCCCGCCGCATGCGGCCCGCAATGTGCATGTGCTGGAGCGGGCGCCTGCACTGGAGATGTTATGTGAGTACTGAGATATCATACATGTCCCGCCAGCTGCAGCACCAGGTGGTGTGGCGGCTGGACGAGCGCCCGCCGCATGCGGCCCGCAATGTGCATGTGCTGGAGCGGGCGCCTGCACTGGAGATGTTATGTGAGTACTGAGATATCATACATGTCCCGCCAGCTGCAGCACCAGGTGGTGTGGCGGCTGGACGAGCGCCCGCCGCATGCGGCCCGCAATGTGCATGTGCTGGAGCGGGCGCCTGCACTGGAGATGTTATGTGAGTACTGAGATATCATACATGTCCCGCCAGCTGCAGCACCAGGTGGTGTGGCGGCTGGACGAGCGCCCGCCGCATGCGGCCCGCAATGTGCATGTGCTGGAGCGGGCGCCTGCACTGGAGATGTTATGTGAGTACTGAGATATCATACATGTACCGCCAGCTGCAGCACTAGGTGGTGTGGCGGAGAACAGAGATGAGATCTACGGTGTAGCAAGCTTACGCAGAAGGAGCCTGTTCACTTCGGCTTTTAAAAAGGCGACGACCTCAAGGCCGAGTGGTTTGTACGCCGGGTTTCAAGGTGTCGCCGACTCGAGAGGTCCCGGGTTCGAACCCGGTGGGTGCAGATGTTTCTGTGATGAATACGATATGTCATTTGTACTCCAGTCATGGATGTTCAACATGTATTTCTATATAAATATACTTATATATGTACTGTATGTTATGTACTCTATCCGTTACCCTAGCATCCCATAACACAAGCCTTACAGTACTTACTTTGGGGCTAGGCTAATTGGTGTGAGTTGTTGGAAATATTTTTATTTATTTATTTTAAAAAAGCCGAAGAGTATGTACTCGGAAGAAGGCAGGGAATTTCGCTCCTTCACTGTACATATTATAAAAGTATTTGATGGACCAGATATGTTCAGTAAAGATGAACCAGATATGTTTTTATTTTATTTCCTCAACCCTTGGAGGCCTCGTAAATTAGTCACTAGAAATACAGCACTTCAGTTTGTTGTATCTGCAATCTGTAACGTGGAAAAGAATTCATCACATGACCGTATCCATTTAAGTTGAAAACTCGTCATATTTTGCTTCTTCTAATGTATATACTGTCATCTAGGTCATCCAAACACGTTGATGGTGATCACAGACGGCAGCACGACCTCCCTGATGGAAGCGCTGCACTGTGGAGTGCCCGTGATAACTGTTCCTTTCCTCGGAGACCAGTTCCTGAACGCAGACATCGCGGTGGCACAAGGTTTCGCGATCAAAGTGGAATTCACTCACCACTTCGCGTGGAAGTTGAGAGAGGCTATTGGGGAGATTCTTGGTAACAACAGGTAAATCTTAATATATATAAATCTCGTGTCACAATGTTTGTCCTCAATGGACTCCTAAACCACTGAACCGATTATAATAAAATTCGCACACCATGTGCAGTTCGATCCAACTTGAGAGGTAGGATAGTTTAAATCTCAAATTATAGTCGCAATTTTAATTTATTGCAAATTATTACTTTTGGGCGGTACGAAGTTCGCCGAGTCAGCTAGTTGATTTACATGTATGTTGCTCAATGGCGCAATAGTTAACGTATTCTGCCTGCTGTCTGGAAAGTAAAGAAACTTTGTGGGATCTGCTGTTCCTGATTGCATTATGTTTTTGTATATTTTTTTGGATGAAAATATTAACTGATATCAATAAATGCATGTAGTTTAAACTCCACGAATTAGAAATGTTTAAACTAATTTATTATTTATCTTATCAGCATTTGTTTAAAGCATTTAACTGCTAGACGATGTGGTCCGCCTGGTTTATTTTCTAGTAAACTTTTCTTAAGATTTATTTATTTAGTTTTCGTTGCATGCACTTGTAATCTCACTAAAAACATTTTTGGATGATTTGTCATTTTTGACATATTCCCGGAAATAAAGTCGTTAGTAGGAACGAGAAAATTTTATTATTGTCTTGTCTGGAAATTCTTAACTGTCTCAAGCATCATGTGAGCGCATTAAGTAGCCGTCAGCAGAACTAACGAGCAACGTGATATGGACCACGTTTATAAAACAAGGCTCTTAGCAACTTAGTTAAATGAGAGTTAGCTCATTTTATGATCTATTGAAAAACACAGCGGAGAAGATATGAATATTAAATTATCACACTGAATATCATCCTCTGAATTGGACAAGAAGATAAACACATTTATTTATTAACTTGCTTAAAATACTGATTTAAATTGATATGTATTAGACTATACTGAACCAGAGATAGAGACTGTTTCAAAGGGCCCGGTGTCATATGAACGAACATATTAGTAAGTAAACTGGTAAAGAATTAAAATTTTATTGAGAGTTATGGAATTGGTTACATTAATTTGAACAGAAAGTTGCTTTTTGCCCATATTTTAGAGTTTGTTAGCCAAGCATTGTAATTTCAATTTGGTAAACAATTAGTACGACTATTTAGAAATAATTTTAAAATTAATAGGAATCTGTATTGAGCTGTTGTTATATTCGCTCGTTATTAAGATATCCGCCGTCAGGGCAGCCAGACATGTAACAGATGGCCGCACGCAGTCGAGATAACAACAGACGGGAGAGTTAAGTCAATGATTTTTCAACACCCACCGTCGGAAATAGGCCGGGCTTCATTAGTGTCAGGTCTCTGCGCCCGCGCCGCCGCAATCGCGTCTATTAGCCACGCGATGACAACGTTTAAATAAATAAATATTATTATCTTATTTTGTGTCCGTTTACACATCATTTGTCCAAGGTTTCCGATAACTAATACTTTTTAAAATTTTCTGGGAATCTCATCACTGATCTCACCATATTCTAGACAAGTCGCCAAGACTTATTTTTGTATTTCAAACTCAATCATTACTTTGCTGTTCTACCTAGTGTAGCTCTAGTTACTTCAGCATCAGGGTTAAGACACTTCTGACAAAGATAACAGAAATAAATAAATAAATTAAAAATGGGTGCGTGTACTTATGTAGGCGCGTGAGAAGTTATCCTTCTTTGGCATCGTTTAAAATTAGTTTTTAATTGCATGCAAATAATTAATTACAATAAATTAATAAAAAGTCTGGAAAAGGACACAGACAATAAAGTTCAGTTTTAATTTGAAAAAATTAATAAATAATCAAAATATTCAATTAAAATCGCTACTGAATATAATTTATTAGAACATATGTGATTTGCACTTGTATGAAACTCAAACACGTATTCCGAATATACAAACTAGAAACATGTGGATAAATATTATAAATATGAATACCTATAACTGTTACTTTATTACAAAAAATAAAGATGTGGTTTTTGGTTCTACTACACCAATGGTCAAGAGATGGCGCTGTAGTATCCTGGATCGCGCTTTGGTTCCGTTGTTCCAGATTAATAAATACTTTTGATAGGCCTTCACAATGCAGTCGTTAGCACCCACTAAATAGAGATTCTATTTCTATTTTGTTGGTAGATTAATAGATTTTCTTAATGTGCGGTAAACACAAAAGTAACGCATGAAGTTGGTCGCCAAAGCGACCAACTTCATGCTGTTAAAATTTTGTGTTACAGTGATGCGCGCGCATCTTAAAATTTCACTCTCATCATTTTTTCATAACGCGCCTAAAGAAGTATAACTTCAAAAAATAAATTCTACCTTACGCTATGGAGTTTTACTTTGGGGTAATTCTGTTCATAGATATAAAGTATTTTTAATACAAAAAAAATGTATTCGTGCTATATTTGGTTTGAAGCAAATTGATTCCTGTCGACCTTTCTTTAGAAACTATAAGCTGTTGACTTTGCCTTGCCTGTATATTCTTGATATATGTACATTTGTACACCAACATAAGTATCTATTTAAAGAGAATCATCAAATAAGTAATCGAAATTTACGCTCAGTTTATAAAAATAAGCTCCATAGGCCTGCTACAAAATTGTCTTTAGCAGCTAAAAACACTTTTATTATGTGCATGAAAATTTACAATAAATTACCAGATAAGATGAAAGAACTAAAACCTTTTAAATTAAAAAAAATACTTAAGGATTGGCTTAGCCAAAAATGTTTTTATAGTATCCAAGAGTATTTAGAATATAAATAGGAATATTCAAATAGTTCCTATACGTACAATATAAACAACACCTGAAAAGGTAGGATCAAATGGCACTGTACATTAAGACATTAGCATTAAGACCTGTATTTTCATGTTACCTTATTCCATACACAATAAAGATTTTTATCATTATTATTTATTATAATTAATGTACCAAGTGTTCGTTCGTGGCCATTTATAAGAAAATTCGTTAGCCTCTTTGACAACACTAAAAGGAGTAGCTTCCATGAACATAACATTCTTCATCTTCGTGTGCTGAGGCACTATCCAGTAACATGGAGATTGGACCTGGACACTTTTCTTACATATCTATCATTTTATTTGCAGCTACAGGAGCAGTGCTAAAGAAGCTTCCAGAATGTTCCATCTCCGTCCGTCTCCAGCCGCAGCCGATCTCTTGCACTGGATAGAAGTGACGTCATCGACAGGCGCCTGGCACCTGCGCTCGGCGGCGCGCCATCTGTCGCTCGCGGAGCGATACTATCTGGACCTGGGGCTGCTGCTGGTGCTGGCTGTATGGTTTTTGTCGAAAGTGGTCAAAGTGATCAGGGTGCATCTGAAAGATGATGATTGTAATAAGAAAGATGATTAGAATTCTTATGGCATGACTTCTATAAATAAAAGAAGGATCAATATTGTTATTTACATCCATTTAAATACCAGCCTCTAATCTATGATAACCTATTGTTGGTTGGTTGATATTTTTTTCCAATTGGAATTGTGGTTGAAGTTTGTCATCTCAAATGAGCGATATCGTGATAGACCTCTTGCCTGCACTGGCCGGAGTTGTTTTCTATAAATGTCTTTCGAATGCCAAATTAAGAGATATCCGAGATATCGCGATAGGGTTCTTGTCGGGCAGCGCGCCGCTGCAATATGTGTACTTAACCTAAGATGCATTGCACAAACAGAATCATGTGGTACCGGCCATATGTGTGGTAAAACAAATGTCTTTAACATTGAATATTCAAGCGGTAAAGCCAAAACAAAAAAAAACAAATGGAGGATACACGTATGATGGAACAACACTGACTGAGCAAAATGGCGCTATCAATGAACTGATTATCCTTTGCAGTTTAAAGTAAAAAAACCCTTAGAAACCACCAATAAATTCGGAAATCGGGATAGTAAATTAAAAGGAAGAAAGGATTGGCTTATCTGCATTACAAATCTTTTTCATTTATTTTCAAAAGCTTACACTGTGATTATATTCCTAGCTATTTAATTACTTTTCATTTAGACACTGAATAATAATAAACCATAAAGCTCAGAAAAACTAAAACCAAGCAATGACATTGCCTATTAAGCTTATTTTATTTCTTTTATAAAATTTAACACTTCTACGTCGCTACAACTTTTAAACGAGCTAATCCCGTCTATCCTTGAAATTCGAAAAAAAATATTCGAGTCATTTGATCGCGCGGAAGTATTCCTAATAAAATTCGGCCTCGTGTTGCCAGTTAGCCGTCGATTTAGTGACATGATTTCGATCGTTTGATAGCAGGCGACCGCTGCGAGTCGCGCCGTGAACTTGAACTTGCCACAAATTAGGAACGACTAAAAATAGGACGCGACCACAGATCGGAGAAACTAACGCGAAGGAGTAGACACTTTTGAGAAACAATGGGTGCGTGTACTTATGTAGGCGCGTGAGAAGTTATCCTTCTTTGGTATCGTTTAAAATTAGTTTTTAATTGCATGCAAATATTTAATTACAATAAATTAATAAAAAGTCTGGAAAAGGACACAGTCAATAAAGTTCAGTTTTAATTTGAAAAAATAAATAAATAATCAAAATATTCAATTAAAATCGCTACTGAATATAATTTATTAGAACATATGTGATTTGCACTTGTATGAAACTCAAACACGTATCTCGAATATACGTACAAACTAGAAACATGTGGATAAATATTATAAATATGAATACCTATAACTGTTACTTTATTACAAAAAATAAAGATGTGGTTTTTGGTTCCACTACACCAATGGTCAAGAGATGGCGCTGTAGTCTCCTGAATCGCGCTTTGGTTCCGTTGTTCCAGATTAATAAATACTTTTGATAGGCCTTCACAATGCAGTCGTTAGCACCCACAAAATAGAGATTCTGTTTCTATTTTGTTGGTAGATTTTCTTAATGTGCGGTAAACACAAAAGTAACAGCATGAAGTTGGTCGCTTTAGCGACCTTTAAAATTTTGTGTTACAGTGATGCGCGCGCATCTTAAAATTTCACTCTCATCATTTTTTCATAACGCGCCTAAAGAAGTATAACTTCAATAAATTTTGAGAGAGACAGAAAGGACAGTAACGGACCAGTATGCTTCATGATTTACTGTATGAATTGAGAACCCTTATGCAGTGGCGGCGCTAGGCGTCGGCGACGTCTGAGGGGGCCTCGCAAAAAATTTTTACTAGTTACCTATTTATCCTACCTACCCAGCCTGGCCTGGCTTAGGTAGCAGACCCCGAACAATTCGGCAAAAAAGCTAAGCAGATTATTTTCGAACACGTGCGTGATGGAAGCGAGTAGTACTTTACGGGTATTCAGAATCGTCTGTCTGGCAACACTATTTTTGTAATTAAATTTCTATGTTTGTAATTATTTTTTGTCATAACTTGATTATCTATACTTATAATAAATCTGTAGAGAGGTCAATTCTGTACATGAAATATATTTTCAAAATAACTATCAGGGGGTGATTAGTGATCGATACTGATGCCAAAAATGCAATCAGTAAAAATTTTGTCTGTCTGTCTGTCTGTGTGTATGTTCCTTATAGAAACAAAAACTACTCGACGGATTTTAACAAAACTTGGTACAATTATTCTTCATACTCCTGGGCAGGTTATAGTATACTTTTCATCACGCTACAATCAATAGGAGCAGAGTAGTGAAGGGAAATGTTGGGAAAACGGGAGAAGTTACTCCATTTTATCAGCTTCCGTCGCGTGTGCAGCCTTAATGGTTAAAGTTACATAGAAATTATGTATGACGGAAATATTCTACATAAAATTGTCTAAAAAATATCCCGCAACAGCATATAGCTTAGCAGTTCGGAGCATTCCGATTATATAACGTAAATATGAGAATTTTAGTTTGATTATAAATACAGGTAATAAAAATGACGAAAATGAATAGCGGGCCGCTAGTCAACAATAAAACTCGTTTACTCATACGTTATTTTATAATTTGGCTCACTTAATTTAACGGTTTTTTACTGCGAAGTAAAATATGCCTCGCGAACTTGATGTCGCCGACGTCCACATGTGGTCTAGCCCCGCCACTGCCCTTATGTATTATTATCTAATTATGACTGTTACACAATATCTCTTAAAGAATGGGCTTTAATTGGTTATGGCCTCCTTAGATAATTATATATCCATAGGAAGCCCTGCAACGGGATGATTAATATAAGCCGATGATCAGTGCGGGGAACTCAAACAGACACATTCATGGCAGGAATGTATTATGGTATTTCGTAATGATAGAATTGAACGAAAGCAAGTATGAAATTAAATACCTGAGGCGTTAGTTTTCATATAAAAATTTGATTGGTGGTTGTTCACGACTGCAGATGCAGCCAGGTCCAACGGCTTTATGTGCGCAAGGTACTTTGTAGGCTTGTTGAAAATATATCGATGTATCGATATATCGATATTTTTTGTTCGATATATCGATATGTTTTGCCGATATATTTTGATTCGATATATCGATACATCGATACAAAATAACCAATATCGAAAGTCGTATCAAAAACGATATTTTTTTAATTATTAGCGGCATATCACGATCTAACTAAATTCGTATCTGGAAAAATCGTAACTGGATCTCAGATTAATGATATTCAACATATCTATGATCTGTGCTGTATTTAGTATTGTCTATATCATCATTCGAAAATAGGGTTTATTTTTAGGGAGATAATTTTCGTTCCATTATTATTCCGCGTGTCATATTTCGTGAGCTACTGTAAAAGGAGCTGTGGAAAATATCGTATATTTTTGGGAAAATTGGTCCGATATATCGATATATCGATGTTTTTTTCGCGATATATCGAAGCCGATATTGATATTTTTTAAAATATCGATATATCGATATTTTTTTCAACTTTCGACATCCCTAGTACTTTGCGTAACACGGAGGAGCTTTTGATAATACATTTTTTGGTTAACCAAAAGTTAAGTTACCGCAGACAGAACGTGCTAAAACTACATTTTCGATTTGATCCCACAAATCTGTCTAGTTTATAAAGCGTACCTGAGTTCGAGTTTGAAAAAGTTTGTACCTCACTTAGAATACTAAAGTGGAGAGCCAACACAATTTTACTCTTTGATTGTCGGCATCAGCAAAACGGTTGTAACATCAACAAGTTAAAATAAGTATAATGCGTATCAAATAAGAATAGGAAAGCCAATGACCTCCATCTGTCAAATGTCGCTTGAAAAGTACGGTTTGCAAAAAAATCTCGGAACACTTTTTTAGCACTCAACTGATTCTTGAATAAAAACCAAAAAATTTTAAACAAACAATAACAAATGTTGATAATTAATTTTCATTTATTGAGCTTTTAACTATGAATGGTTGATAACCTAAATCGTCAACCAAATGTCACTTTATGTTGCGTTCAAAAACTCGATTTAAAACTTTCGTTTACATGTAGGATGCATGTTCGTATGTGACCTGCATGATTATTCATAACTTCTCCGGCGGTAATGCAGAGATGAGCGAAATTGAAGGGCTACATTGTGATTAATATTTTTTTTCACAGTCTTAATAAAGAAATTAAAAATCGGTTGTGTTCTTTCTCAACCTTAGTAAATTAATTTTATTAAAAACCCTGATGTTTAGTCTCACTTAATTTGAAAAATAAGTTTTATTAAATAGAAACATTTCTTTGCTCACTCTACCTATTTGGTTTGAATTGACAGCTATGACATCAAAATATGGCGCCCAGTCGGTCATATTCTTAGTTGAATCGCAGTATAAGTTCTAAACAACATGTAATCAGACAATCGAAGACAGAAGACGATAACAAGGCAAATTGCATTCAACTTGTCCTCACTTGTTCGAAGAAGGGAAGGTCTATTAACCCACAGCAGATGTTACACATAGTACGAACAGCATTCCACCACAAAATTTGTGATTCCACGATGCTTTACGAGCGGAAGAGAAACTGGTAGTTTCGAAACATAATAACTGACAGCGGCGCCGGCGCAGGAATCAGCCGATACAACGATACCATCGTAAAACCTATTGCGGCGAATGGACTCCGCACATAAATAATGTTTAATCGCGATCTCGTCGCTTTTAAAACGGACCGCACCGTATATATAAAGACTAGCCGTGCCCCGCGGTTTAACCCGCGTTATTCTCGTTTCCGTGAAAATACCGATTTTGAACACAAAATCGGTTATTGTGATTAAACCATGATAGCTAGATATATGTTCTTGCGGACTTTTTTGTAGGTCTTAATGGGATCTACAAACCCGTAGTACATCATTTTGTTCTATTGTCAATAGTTTTTGCAGCGCACGCAAAAATAGGTTTTCGATTTTACACCTTGTGTTACAAAATAGCAATTTTATTACGGATCCCTAATTTTGAAAAACAAAATAGCGTATAGTCTTCC